GCTGTCACCAGTGTCAGTCACCACGTCCCTGCATGGCCTGGTGGAACGAAGGGTGTCCCCAGCCCTGGTCCACGGTGTCACTGATGTCACTGTGTCCCCACAGAGCCTGGGGACATGGGCGGATGGCTGTCCCCAACTCCAGTTCCTGATGTCACCAACCCCCCATGTCCCCACATGGCTCAGTGACATGGAATGAGGGCTGTCCCCAGCCCTGGTCCCTGGTGTTGCTGATGTCACTGTGTCCCCACAGGGCCTGGGGACATGGGCAGACGGCTGTCCCCAGCCCTGATGTCACCAATGTCACCACATCCCCACAGGACCTGGGGATACAGAGGGCTGTCCCCTGATCCCTGGTGTCCCCAACATCCCCACGTCCTCGTGCTGCTCAGGGACACCAACTGAGAGGTGCGCGTGTCCCCAATGTCCCCGCTGTCACCCGCAGGGCTCAGCAGCATCAGAGGAGGATCTGGCAAAGGCCATGGAAGGGCTGGGGCTGGAGGAGGGCAGCGGGGAGGGCGGCGTGCTGCCCGTGGTGCAGAGCGTGCTGCAGCACCTGCTGAGCCGTGACGTGCTCTACCCCTCGCTCAAGGAGATCACCGACAAGGTGAGGGGGGACAGCAGGGACAGCGGGGACAGCGGGGACAGGCAGCTCCTTGTCACTGTCACAGCACCCCGAGTGGCTGCAGCAGCACCAGGCAGTGCTGGGGCGCATGGTGGAGCGCTGCTGGTGGGGAACTGGGGGGTGAGGGTCCTGGGGATGGGGACAGCGGGGACACCTCCTTGTTGTCACTGTCACAGCACCCTGAGTGCCTGCACTGGGCAGCACTGGGGTGCATGCGGGGTGCTGCTGGTGGGAGCTGGGGGGCGAAGGCCCTGGGGATGGGGACAGCAGGGCCACCTGCTTGTTGTCATTGTCACAGCACCCTGAGTGCCTGCACCAGGCAGCACTGGGGCGCACGGTGGGGCGCTGCTGGTGGGGAGCTGGGGGGCGAAGGCCCTGGGGATGGGGACAGGTGGGAGGACTGGGGGCAGCAGGGACACCTCCTTGTTGTCATTGACACAGCACCTCAAGTGGCTGCAGCGGCACTGGGCAGTGCTGGGGCGCACAGTGGGGCGCTGCTGGTGGGAGGCTGGGGGGCAAAGGCCCTGGGGATGGGGAAGGGGACAAATGGGAGCTGCTTGTTGTCATTGTCACAGCACCCTGAGTGCCTGCACCGGGCAGCACTGGGGTGCATGCGGGGCGCTGCTGGTGGGAGCTGGGGTGCGAGGGTCCTGGGGATGGGGAAGGGGACAAATGGGAGCTGCTTGTTGTCACTGTCACAGTACCCTGAGTGGCTGCAGCGGCACCGGGCGGCGCTGCCGGAGGAGCAGTACGAGCGTTACCGGGCGCAGCACGGCGTCATGAGCCGCATCTGCCAGCAGCTGGAGGCCGAGCGACCCGAGGACAGCGAGGGGGACAGGAGGGCGCGCTTCGAGGCCGTGCTGGAGCTGATGCAGCAGGTGGGGAGGTGGGGACGCGGTGGGGGGACGCGGGGCTGGCGGCGGGTGCTGATGGGGCGCTGCTCTCTTCCAGCTGCAGGAGCTGGGGCACCCGCCCAAGGAGCTGGCTGGCGAGGCGGTGAGTGTCCCCCAGTGTCCCCAGCTGTCCCTGGAGGTCTTTTCCATGTTGTCCCCAACTGTCCCCGGCTCTCGACCATCCCTGGTTGTCCCCAGCAGTCCCTACTTGTCCCTACAGGTCTTTCCAACTGTCCCCACGTGTCCCCCAGCTCTCAGCCATCCCAGCTGTTCCCTGCCGCCCCCCAGTTGTCCCCAACCCATGAGTTCCCAGTTGTCCTTCAACCAACCATTCCCAGTTGTCCCCAGCTGTCCCCAGCGGTTCCCGACTGTCTCCAATTGTCCCCTGCAGTCCCTGACTGTCCCCAGTTGCCCCCCAAATGTCTCTCATTGTCCCCACTTTGCATTCCGTTGTCCTCAGCCGTCCCTAATTGCCCTCCACCATCCTCAACTGTCCCCAGTAATTGTCCCCAGTTGTCCCCAACTGTCCCTCATTGCCTCCATCTCCATCCAAC